AACGATCTTAATCCTAAGTTCTTAGGAGACTCTTATTTATGGATTTGCGTCTTTTGATTTACTCGGTACGGATTTTGAGATCTTGAATTTTATTCCTTGTATTTGGAGACATGATGAAGTGAGTAGTTGGGAATGTTATTATACAAGATGGAATATGTTCCTTTTTAAGAAAGAAGTAGATATATAATTCTCTTAAGGGTTGATTCGGTACTTGGACCAGTAGGACCTCCAATCATGAATTTGTTTTATGAATTACTGTCAATTAGAGAATCAATGATACTCAAGGATAAAGATGTAATTAGAGAGGTTAACGGATTTCACTTAGCTCGAATTATGAATTATTTATGGAGGATTGATCTATATGTAATGACTATATCAAATGGATACTTCACAGTTTAGAAGTAATTTATATGTATAATTACGAGAGTGCAATTCCAAGTTTATAGTGGAGTTACTATTAGAATTAATATAATTAATTAATTAATTAAAGTGTTTAATTAGTTATAAATTTTATAAGAGCTCAGAATTATAGGTCCTTGAGTCCCTGCACCGTCCTTGTAATCCTACAAGATATTAAGGTAAAATGAGAATTTTAGAATAATGAAATTCTAAAATAGAACGCTCAAGGATAATCAATTAAGAATTAATTATTAATTAAATAATGTGATTATTTAAATTTAAATTTGAATTTTGAAACACATGTGTGAAGGTGTTCACATGGTGTGAACGCACGACAGTTTGAATTCCTTGGGATTTAGTTACTTGTTCTCCAAATTATCCAATTAACTTATTTGATAAGTTGTTCAATTTGAAATTCAAATTGATTTAAGTTTAACTTAAATTAGAATTTGAATTTAAGTTAAAAATTGAACTACATGATAAAATTTTTCCCTAATCTTTATCTGTAAAATTGTGTCTACCACAGGGAGTAAATCCCTTAGTGGTGGCCTGCCATATTGGATGAGGGAGAATGGATTTTGTTTCAAAATTAAATTTGAAGTGAGAGATAATTAACAAATGGATTTTGTTTCAAAATCAAATTTGAAGTGAGTGATAATTAACAAGTTTTATCTTGGATATAAAGATAAGACTCCTTCTGAGAGTCTAACTGTTACTCTATGAAATAAGAGATTGTAGAAAATTTTGAGATACAATTTTTTCTCTCCCTAGCTATAGTAGCCGAATTTTATAGAGTCAAGAAGAGGGAAATTTTCTCAAAAAAAAAAAAAAAATTTCACGTCGTGCATGTGTTGGTGTTCGTGAAAATCTTGTGTGTTCTTACTAATCCCATTTTGTTCAGGTGTGCCCACACACACGTTCTTTGTAGATTCAAGGAATTGACGAGAAAGATTCAGGTTTTCTAAACTAGCTTGGAGCGTGGAACGTTCGAGGTCGAAGAACACAAGTTATCATCCTAATCGGTTGCTTGGTGTAATTCCTAAACCGGTTCTTGGTAAATAAATTAATGTGATTAATTTATTCGTTCATAAATTAATATAATCTATAGAGTATCTCAAGGGTTTTATGAAAATTTTTGTTATACATGATCCACTACTCACACGCTTCCGCATCCGAAATCATTTCGGAAACCAATAAATGGGACGTCATGGGCTCCTTATAGAGGTAGGTTGGACTTATTTCAACAACTAGGGTCAATTTTCAGAGTCAAATACGCGATTAAAATCATAACAGGTCGTACGGAGGCACCGTCTGATTAACCGAACATAACGATGTAACCTGTCCCGATTACGAAAACACGTTCGGTTAACAAAACATATACAACCGGTTAATAGGACCCATGTTGCCAGGCCCGTGTTACATCTTTATTTGATTACGAGAACTACATATATAACTACAGTTTTAATTCAAATAATATAATGTAAAAATTATCTGATTAAAACAATTATATACATACATTCTCATATTAAATAAAAACGAAGACATTAATTCAACTAGTTTATCTTGAATTAATTTTCATAATTAATTCAACCAGTAAATAACTCATGAATTAACTTAAACACTTTATTAATTCAACCAATTTATATGGAATTAATTTAAACAATTAATTATACCTATAAATTACTCATGAATTAATTACATCCGACTTATAACTAATTGCATAAATAGTACAAGTTACCAATTTGTAAGAAATACGGCGTATCATATTAGGCAAATAACGAGCTAGCAGAGGGACCCGATAGACATATATAGATCAAACTCCTATAGTCATGACAAAACTTGTTAACCCACAAGTTTATCTCACGATTATAAGTTCCAGCGCTACTCTACTAAAAGCCTAGAACTGTACTCTTGATCTATACAATATATTTACAAAGCTCTAATTAGCTCTTGTCTGACTTTATTATATTGTGTATCATCCTCATAGGATATCCATAATTGACTTGAGGTCAAATTCCGTTTTACCTTCCCGATTATATTTCGCTTATGTTCCACTATCACTCCATCAGAAAACCAACTATTCGTAGGAATACAAATAATAGACCATCAGATAACACAAAAGTAGTCCAATGGCTGAGAGCTCATATTTTTCAATCTCCAGATAATGCCATAAGAGGATCTCATTAGCTATTTTAGTAAGAAATATGAGTTCCTTATCTATGAATAATAAATCTACTCATACAAGAGTCATATCTCTACGTACTGGTAAGTATACATATACATAATGTTAGGATGTCTCCCTTTGGCACATCAAAAGATACAAGTCTAGTATACGGGTTTATTATTCATCCCATGATTAAGATGATAACATATAATTAGTCAAAAGTAAATTATTTTATTTAAATGGATTTCTTATTTAAAACAATTCAACTTTGGATCGATCCAATATAGATTCCACCACCAGGAACTATATCAAGTCTATACCCATGGAGTTTCACTCCGACGACCAAGACAAGCCATCTCTATTAGGAAGTAGATGACATAACAACCTTAACATAAATAAAGAGCCCCATTTTATTTCATCAATTGCGGATCATGTATTTAGACTATCATCTTTAGATTTATGTCTTCCGCATGTATTCTTCACATTATATGAACAATCTAAAGATTTAGAGTGACAGTCTCAGATTTTCAGTTTGCTTATCATACATTCAACTAATATGAATATAAAGAGGATAATACTTTCAGTTTGCTTATCATACATTCAACTAATATGAACATAAAGAGGATAATACTTGATATATGAAATAAATAAATAATCATTTATTAATAGTCAAAATATCTAATAAATATTGTTATATTTATTCTTAAGAGCATAAACACTAATAAAAAATGAGCACCATATGACACAAAAGTGCTCCTTCTCAAGGTTGAAAAATTAATTCAACAGCAAAAATAATAGTCTATATTATCCATAATGAAGAAACCCTTCACTACCAAAACTATTGGAAAGTATGTAAATTACCATTTGAAGATAATAAAGGAAATCCCCAAATATCTATTAAGGCTTCTTTCTTCCTCTCACTATTCTCCCTTTCTCTTGTCGTTACACATTCCTAGTTGTTGGATTGATGAGAATGCAATATGCATGGGTGAAGTGCGTGCAACCAATTTGTGAGAGCATGATATACTTACTATACAGAAATTTATCTCCTGTTTTTTCATATGGAATTATGGATGAATTTTGAAGGTAAGTAACGGATCATTGGAATTTCTGCTAATGTAATTTCCTATTTACTGTATTTCATTCAAAAAGTAGGGTCCGTTTAGTTCGTTGATTTAAATTTTTAATTCGAATTGAGATGTGACTTTATGTGAGACCTTTTAACTATAGTAAAAAAATTAAATGTGACTATTTCTGAAAGTCTCTTACCGTAATAAAACTCAAATTTTAAACTTAAATTTGGTTAGTGAATTTACTTTTTTTATTTCCCTTTCCGTTTGTTTTGTAAAACCCGGTGGGATTCCCTAAAAAGAAAACAAAAATTGATAGGCACATGGATCCCACCAAGTAGGGCTTACCCCTGTGTGTTAAGGGGATACAAGACAACGCAGTTGAGTTTAAAGATAAAAAAATTATAAAAAAAAACATTTTTGCCTACAAATTGCCAAACCATAAAACATGTACTTGTGAGTAGTGACTCCAAATTTTTACTCGTTGCGCTTCATTTTTACAAAAATATTTGTAGACAGGTGTCTTTTCCACATAGCATTCTCGTGTAACACACGCTGCCAAAGTCGTATCATGTGGACTGGGCTTCTCCTTGTTGCCTCGGTTTATTTCTTTCCTAATTACCACGAGGGCAAGGCACTAGAAATGTATTATGTGTGTGTATATATATGTGTGTATATATATATATATATATTAACAGAAAGGCACTAGGGCTTGTTCTTTTAGAGTATAACTTGAGTGTAGTTTTTGAGTTGAATTTGAGTTATAACTTGAGTTGAAGTTAGAACTTGAATAAAGTTGAGTAAAATTAAATAAAGTTGAAACTTAAAAGAACGTGAACTTAAATAAAATTAAAACTTGAGTTGTCTTTTTTTGAATTTTTTTGACAAAAGAACATGTCCTAGAATTCCCTTTGCAGATCATGATTGAAAGCTTTCAGATAAACATATTTAAACTTAGCAAAGCTACTTAAATTGAAGTTAGTCCAGATATAGGGTGGTAGAGCCTGAAATTAATTTATACAGTTCAATATATATATAAAAAAAAAAACCCCAACTCTTTTCTTTTCTCTCTCTCTCTCTCTCTCTCTTTGTTTTTTGTTTTTTTTGTTTTTTTGTTTTTAATTCTTCATACATATGCATCTCAACCAGATTCTTCATCAACATGCAGGATTATAAGAGTCAACTATATCTACCTAGATAGCCAGGTCACAAAGTAGATATATTCTCATGATTAATCACTAATCTAAGACCAAAAAGTTAATAGAAATATGAAGTGAATAGGTTACCTCAAAAGAAAAAAAATAAGAAGAAAAATTAAAAGAACTACTATGTAATTTAATTAATTACCATAATTCAATGTGATCTACGTGGAGTTTCAAAAATGGTCTCTAAAGCAGGTCTCCAAGACCTTTGCTTGGAGTATAACCTCTGATCAACAGGATCAGAATGATAATTAACAGGACTTCCCAAAGTCTTGGATTCTGAATTAGGAAGGAACGTACAAAACTCACCAAGAGAAGGAAAAATCTTGCCAAAATTGGCCAAACTACCGCCATTGTTCTTGTTGTTACTATTTGGGGGCTTTGAATTTGTACCCCCAAAAGTAGTGAAAGAGCTCATTTCTTCATGTGTTAGAACAGAGTAGAGAAGCTCCATTGGAAGAAGTAGGTACAATTGGCGCTTCTCTAGCTCGCCATCGGCCGAAAGGCCTTGAATCCGGTGACCGACCACGAGGCTGCTCGAATCGCAGACGAACTTCCCGGGGTTTTCGAGCATTAGCTCTGCTGCTTTCACTGGCCTTGTGTAGACCTCCATTGCTCCATCTTGGGACAAGACTTTTGTCGCTCCATTTGAGATTATTGAAGGAGCACAAGAAGCTGCATTGCCCATCTGTGTGTGTGTGTGAGAGAGAGAGAGCGAAAGAGAGTTAGAGAGAGAGAGAGAGAGAGAGAGAGAGAGAGAGAGAGAGAGAGAGAGAGAGAGAGAGAGAGAGAGAGAGAGAGAGAGAGAGAGAGAGAGAGAGAGAGAGAGAGAGAGAGAGAGAGAGAGAGAGAGAGAGAGAGAGAGAGAGAGAGAGAGAGAGAGAGAGAGAGAGAGAGAGAGAGAGAGAGAGAGAGAGAGAGAGAGAGAGAGAGAGAGAGAGAGAGAGAGAGAGAGCTATTTTGTCGGCTATCTAATGTATGTATCTTAGGAGATGGCATCAATTTTTGCAGGCAGGTGAAGAAAGGGGAAATTAATGAGTGAAAGTGTGAAACGCGTACGCTTGAAAAATTCCTAACGGAATTCAAGTGTACAATATGAAAAACATTGGTTACCTATAGTAAATATGTGAATCCTCATATTTTAATTGCAGATTCTAGCAGTCATTGTGACCGACATTGACTTTAATTCTAAATTTAAATTTAGAAATAAAAACGATTAACAATCTTATCAGAATTTATAATATATGCGCTCGAGTAGATTCTCTATATTTTAATTAGATTTTATTTTATGTCTTGTTCTTTTAAATATGACCAAATGTAATATATCATTTGATCTTTAGAAATCTATACAATATGTGACCACAAAATTCCATTTATTAAATTTTTTTCAATTTTTATAGCTGGAAAGCAAGAAAGAACAAACAAAAGAAAGAAATTCCTGGCCGGGAAGGGGTTTTTTTTTTTTTTTTTTTCTTTGATGTCTTATTGGGGATTAAATTTTTAAGCTTTAATGGTTGGCAAGCAAGAAAGAACAAGAAAATAGAATTCCTGGCAGGGAAAAGGTTAAAAGAAGAGAAAAGAAACCGATGATCTATACACGTGTGACTGTCCCAATACAATTGCATGAAAGGCCAAAGCAGGCACAACTCTATATCATTTTTTTTTAATTATTATTATTATATTTAAACCTTTTTTATGCTATTTTATTAGGATTCCATATTTTGATAGTAAGGTGTTCACATGGTTAGGCATGGAGCAACTGCAAGACAATGTATGAGAGAGAGCTCAGTTAATAAGGACACCACCAACCTAATGATTGGACATGGTAACTAGCGATTTTTTGATATGATTCCAAAAACAGAATCCTTTTCTTTTCTTTTCTTTTTTTTATTTTTTTTTTATTTTTATTAGGCATGGAGCAACTGCAAGACAATGTATGAGAGAGAGCTCAGTTAATAGGGACACCACCAACCTAATGATTGGACATGGTAACTAGCGATTTTTTGATATGATTCCAAAAACAGAATCCTTTTCTTTTCTTTTTATTTTTATTTTTATTTTTTTTAGGATCACCTAATTCCATTTCAATAGCTTTATAAATAGCTTTACCAAGATATGAAGGGAATACTTATGACAAAGTGCTAAATTATCATCTTTGACAATAGGTAACTAATGTATGAGAGAGAGCTCAGTTAATAGGGACACCACCAACCTAATGATTGGACATGGTAACTAGCGATTTTTTTTTTTTTTTGATATGATTCCAAAAAACAGGATCTTTTTTTTTTTTTTTTTTTTTTGAGGATCACCTAATTCCATTTCAATATCTTTTTAAATAGCTTTTCCAAGATATGAAGGGAATATTTATGACAAAGTGCTACATTATCAGATCTTTGACAATAGGTACATAGGCATTATTATTGCAGTAATTCTTCTAATGGTAGGTTGCTATATCTTTGAAAAATATTCCTTAATCTATTACATGTTGCTAATAATTTAGAGGTAGTTTGTTAATGGATGCAACTGTATGATTTATGGGCAAATGGGAAAATTTTCCCTTTAGTTAAGAAATAGCCTCTTGATTTTGGTCAAATAAGTTCTTGGTCATGCCAAAAGAGGATCTCTCTTTTTCTGTTCATAGTATAGAAATGTGAACCACTAAATGCACCAATAATTAAATGCTCCTTTTGATAGATTCTATAAAGTTTAAAGTTTTCCCCGACAATTAGCAGAAATCTAATCAAAGACTGGAAGGATATATATATTAGTGAACTCGCCATTTTATATGGGTTAGTAGACTTTTGCATAATTATAGAGGTTATTAGGGTTTTAATATTATCTACATTCAAGTTGATTCAATTGCATTTATATTCCCATTGGTTAGAAATTAAGAGAAAAAATAAAATAAAGCTTAAATTAAAAATCTATATGCAAGGGTGGCATCTAATGACCAGGTTCTGTTGGTTATCTAATTGGTGGAATACTTTTTTTTTCTTTTTTGACTTGTTTTATATTCAATCTATATATATGAAGAGGTTGGTATAACAGACAAGGGAATTCCAATAATTACTTTTCAATAAAGATGTGGAGAGTCTGAAATTAGACAACTAATGATTGGCAATCAAGATTATCTTAATCTATTACCAATAATTAGAAAATCTGAGGGTTGGATTCTGACTTGAATTTGGTAATGTTTGTGTTCAATTCTGTTTACAAGGAAAACTGATGCAGTGGGTGAAATATGGGAAATATTAATCCAACAATATTTAACTGGTGAGAAAATAATGTGATTGAGAATGAACCTTGTTTTAAAGAGTGAAACTTGTGCCTATCTATTGTCCTAACCTTGTTTAAATGGCAAACCATGTGCCTGAGTCTTGTACAAGGTTGTGCATTCTCAAATCTGTATAAGGTTGCGTTCTTCAACATTGTACAATAAGCTTCAACCTTGTGCAAGAAAGCTGAGATAGCAATGCCAATGTCACCAAACCTTGTACGGCTTCTCCTTCTTGGGCCTATAAACAGGCCTCTTACCAACGCCAAAACAACACACCACAGCTGAGTACAACCACATTCATTTCTCAACCCCACATCAGACTACAATCACCTCCCAGATTTGCCAACACCACCTCTCTTATCACAGTTCTTGCATTCCCTACAAACAAGGTTTCTCTAATACAATCACCCTCACCATTCTCACAATTATGTTCCCTACTTAAATGGGGGGTTGGATTTTCCCTCAGATATCATCAATTTTATTCTATGTAATCTTAAGCGACGTTTGTTTTAAGAGTTAGTCTCATGATTCTTAGTTCTGCTATAATGTTTTTCTCTCACAACAAATTAAAATTTCAAAAATCAAAATCATGAACCATGATTTTGAATCCATAAACTAAACATTTACTTTAGATTTTGCTATTATAATTACTTAAGTTCTAGGGTAGTGTTGTGGAATAGCATTTCAGTGTTGGCATTCTTTTTTTCAATTACCTTTTTACCCTTTGTTATTTAAATGTTCTCAACGAGCCCGGAACAAATTCCAAAATGGAATTAAATTGAAGCCAAAGGCTTTGACATTATGCTTAATTTCAGGACAATTGTTTAATGGTTTAGTTTATGCTGGCACAGCTTGCTGATGACAGCTTGCTGATGACCATATTTTAGGAGGCTGAGTTTCTATTCTTTACTTGGGTTAGTTAAGACTAGTTTTTGCATTGTTGTTGAATTAAAAACAAAAGGTACTCTCATATTTGTTGTCTTACTGAAAAAACGAAAACATAATAATAAACTACTTTCTTCGGTGTTTAAGCCTAATATTGAAAAAGTATTAAAGTTAGCATGAGAGAAATCATAGTCATGTCTCCTAACGCTTTTCTACCTCCTATATATATAATATATATATATATATATGACGCTTTTCATCTATTTATTTAACAGAAGGACTAACTTGTGCCTTTATGTTAAAATTTAGGGATTAAATATTGTTCAACTTTTAACTAAAGGACTATTTCTAAACAGAGGAAAAAGTTGAGGGACCTATCATAAATCCAACTCACTTACCATCCTAAATTTTATAGGTGGGTAATTCATGAGACATTTCTTTAGTTAGGGATTATTTTAAGACAAAATTGACTCTAAGGGCTAATTTTAGAGAGAGAAAAGAATTTGAGAACCACTTATAGATTCATCCTTTTATTATTATTATTATTCTGTTAGAAAACTTTTATTGTAATTTTGGGAGATTTAGACTCGAGATATTATTATGGAAAAATGAGTAAATTTTCTGTGCAATATAACACCTTGCGAATAGTCCGTTTACGTGCCTAACGGGATAATTCAAGGATTCCTCTCCCCTACCAATGACTTGCTAAGATGCTTGTCACGCACCAGATAGTAGAGCTGGACTCGCTAAAAATATACTTTTTGAGGAAATTATAACATATAGCCCATTTTGTTAAACCATTTGTAGTAAATAACATATTTTGATGCTACAACTCTCTCGGTAGCGCCAAGCCCAGTGCAGAAATGGAAGATTAATGGTGCTCGTGTGAGGGTGGCAATGGAAATAAGGTACAGAAGGTTCTCTCTGATTTTTCTAATTCATTGGTTGGGGAAATGGCAGTGGTTGAGAATCAATCTGTTATGTTGGAATGTTTGGGAACTGAGGAGTCCCCGAGCATTCAAAAGGTTGCGTAAGGTGATCCACCCCATGGAAATCAAAGTTGGTTGGTGTAAGAGTAAATCGATTATTCGAAGATTGGCTTTTGTTATTTCTAGTTTTATTGTGGACTCAGATGATTCCAGACGGGGATTGCTGAAGGAATGGAATTCAATCTAACTCGAAAGATTTCTCGGCTCCAAGAACAGTTGGAGCAGCTATATATTAGTGATGATATAATGACTACGGGTGTAATACCCACCTCTTCAGATAACATATAGATGTAGAAAAATTCACACGTAATAGACACATGTCAAATTAGAAAAGAAAAAAAATTTAAAATTTTTTATAAGTAGACACTTGTCAAGATTAGTAAAAAAAAAAAAAAGTTTACATTTTATTCTAAGTGGACACTTGTCAAGATTAAAAAAGAAGAAAAGTTCAAATTTTCTTCTAAGTTGACACTTATTAAAAAAAAAGTTCAAATTGTTTTTTGTTAGGCACTTGTCAAGTAGATGGACACTTAGAATTTCATCAATGACCAAGATTTAGCCAAAACAC